TAATTACTTAACTGTACCTTGGGTTTTCTTCATAGACCATGTTCAAGGTATGTAATCTTTAGCATTAATATTTGACAATATTAATTGGAGTCATAGCATTTTAAATAGTAGCTAGTAAATGAAAATTCATAAGCCTGGCAAACCTGGGCAAAGGCCCTCATGGGGATTTCGGATTACTCACTCACACACACACACACACACACACACACACACACACACACACACAATAGCCCTGAGGATAGCACGCTCCACACCACACCTGCCACACCTGCTTGTTATCTGTACTAACAAGTCCCAAATGCATGACCTCTTAGTTCTGTTTTGTGACTAAAGCTTCTAAAAAGTTGAACTTGCAATCCAAAATCTGTAATACCAAAAATCATTCATGCATAATCATGTTTTACATTTGTGTATAATTACGTGTTGATCCATATTATTTATTTTAGTCACCTTGCCTTCTAGACATGCTTTCATAACTGTGCACAATTTGTGTAAATCAACACTTAGAATGGCCAAAAGATGTTATGTGTACAAGTGAATAAATGGTATAAATAAAGGAGAAATATTGTGGAAACTACTGGCAGTTTAGAACTTTACATTTGCATCACTTCAAAATGATTTCTCATGCATTATCTCATTCCCAGCCCAGATACATACAAGCTCATGAAGTAAATTAATAATCACCATGTGTCAAAGTATGCATTTAGGAATAATTTAGGTAGTTTCACATAACAAATTTATCTATGTACCTACGTGAAGTTTATATACACAGTTATACATCATAGATGATATGTCCAAATGTCTTTGAAATCTGTCCACTTCGCCACAGTCCAATGACCATTTTAGCTTCAACCTCTCCAAATCCTGCCTACACTTCCCCTCCTCTCTAATCTGTCTCACACACGTACTGCCCTCAAAGGCCTCTATCTAAATACAGATCTGGTTGCACCCCTTCTCTCCTTAAAAATCCACCACACCTTCCCACTTCCCACCTAGTTCTTCACAAAAGGGCCTGCTGAATAGCTACAAGAGATCTAGCAAGTAAAGCAATCTCTTCAAAAATGCTTACTTTATTTTAAAATATAAGCACATTTTTTTTTCATTCTAATCTATAATTTATATTTGTTGGATTTAATACAAATACCATGGTTGGGACTGTTTACTGCCCAGGAAAATATGCTAGGGCATGCTGATCTTACAGCTTCACAAAACCTCTGGCACACTGCCTCCTCATGCCCTCAGAGATACCCGGGCTAGGTCCTAGAGCAAAATCTAAACTGCAGAAGCACTCAAGACACCTCACACGTCACACTCTATGCCTCTCCTGTTTTAGCACCTTGTACCTCCTACCAAAAAATAATCCCATCATTCATCTTGTAAGGTGTACTTCTAGAATGTAATTCTTACAAAAGGGTCTGTCAAGAAAATGTAGTAGTTTGGTCAATATTACTACATCCCTCCTTTTAGAAATGATCAATGAACATTAAGTACATTCAATTTTCTGAGAAGTCTTGCAGCAAAACCTGCTGCCAAGATCAACTGGGAACCAGTGTTTCTTAGAACACACCTTGCTGAAGGTGTGCTGTCCTCTCAAACTTTTCTTCCCTGTTTGCATTACCTGGAAAGCCATTCCTACTTCTTGTAACTGGCAAACTCCTACTTACTTTTATAAATCTAACTATCTCTTCTTTTAAATCATTCCCAGACATGCTAGCTGGAAATAAATGTTTTCTCTGATGTGTATTTGTGGCATGTTGTACAGAGATTTATGTTAAATTTCACACATGGTAATCCTGGATTTCTATGTCAGTGTCCCTAGCCAGACTGTGAGTTTTAAAAGTAGAAGCCATCCCTTATTCATTTATGAATTCTCAGAATCTAGCAGAGTTCACAAGATGAGTTCTATAAATATGTGTGGAGTAAACTGATGAAAGAAAAATGATCTTCTATGAAAACAAAATATGTAGCATCTTATGCCATCTCCCCGTCACTCCAGCCAGGAAATCTCTGCTAGCAAAAAAGGGGACAATAAAAAGATTTTAGGGGAAATGGTTTCTAGAACAGCCAAGTTTAAATGGGCAGACAACACCTGGAATTCAATTTGTAAAGAGAATACACTCCTCAACACTGTCACATGAATTCCTATGAGAGCCACTGTGTCCCTGTCCGGGGTCCTGAGATTCTGGCTGGAAAGCCCTGGCTCTGCTTCAAAGGTAGAGCCAAGTCCAACTGGAATACAAATGTTTGCATATTTCATTATTTCTGATACAGAGACTTCCTTTTTACCCAGGATCTCAGGACAGTCACATTCAATCAACTACAGTTCAGCAAGCTTAAATTAATTAAGATGCTCTGCAAAAGAAGCTACTAAGGAGGGGAGAGATGCAAAGGACTTGCAAGTCAGATTGGATTCTCCTCGCAGCTCTGCCTTTAAGCGGCAAACCTGGGCAAATGACCACACCTTTCCAGGTACCGAAATTGCGACCTTTGATGTGAGTAGTGACATAATTAAGATGAAACAAAGCTTCAGTGAATCATCAGTGTGTGGCAAGCACTTTCTCTTATTTAACCCTCTTGAAACCCTGTGAAGTGGGTATTATTATTCTCATTTTACACACGAGAAAACAAGGCTCAGAAAGGTAAAGTAATTTGCTGAAGCCCACACCATGAGCTCCCAGCACCGCCTGCCTGGGAAGTTCAATGCGTTCCTGGCTGGCTGGCCAAGGTGAGCCCACGGCTTTCTCCTCTCCCACCCTCCCATGACCCCTGACTGCTGACGACTATCTTCACATGTTTCTTTAATACCACAATGTTGATGATGCACAGAGCTCATGATTTTTTTCAATTTTTTCAGTCTCCTAGCTTTATAAAAGCTTCTGTTTCATTTATTTATTTTTTTCTCTTATGATATAACCCTACCTTAATCATAAATGTCTCCTAAGATCTCCCCCCCTCATTATAACCTGATCCTTTCAGAGTCTCTTAAAGAGGCAGACTCACCCAAGAAGAAGTTAGAAAGTTCTCAGTAAGTGGTCTCCTCTCCGAAAGAGACTACCATAGCCTTAGAGGTGGGCTCCACTTGCTCACTGCTCCCACTCCCACTGCAGCAGGCACCTAACCTTCACGTCCCAGGCAGCCAGCATAAGGACCTGCCAAAAGAGGCAGCTGTGCAGCACACACGTGGTGAGGCAGTCTGGCTACATCCAAGCCTGAGCAAACAGGGTGGCAGTACGTTTCCCTTTCTTCCACTCTCGGGAACCACTTGCGGAATGTGTTAGCTCAGCTGCCTGGCCCTCTGTTATGGGACAGAGGATTGTTTTGTCTGGATGAAAATAACCATAGTCATGTGTTTAGCTTTGTGGTCTTTCAAAGTTGCCTCCACATTCTTTAGTTCATCACAATGACCAAAGAAGTACTATTCTGTCCATTTTATTAACAGAAAAGCATAGACTCAGGATGCTTAAGAATTTACCTAAGACCAACCAACCAGAAACTGGCAGAGCCAGAACCCAGCAAGGCTCCCAAGCCCCAATCCTGAGCCCCATGAAGCAGCATTCCCTGTTACTCTACAAAGCACTTTCCCCCAAAGCGCCCCAGGACCCTGCGTCCCTCCAAAGCCTCTGCACCTCCATGTCCCTAACCTAGCTTAGATCGACAATGGAGCTTCTTTTTCAGCTTATCTTCCTCTAACCCCAAATCTCCATCCTTCCTCCATCTCTGTAGCCAGAACTCTGTAAACAGCGATTTTTACTTTTTTGTAACCTGTGTTGCAGCACTTGCCTTCCTTTACAGCTCTGGAGGACTGGTCCGTGGCGTCACACACACATTGAATATTCTAAAGCATAGCTCCGCATGCGGGAGGAAGTACACATTAACACAGGTGCAGTGCAGGAAAGGCAGCCGTTCATCACAGCAACTTTACCTAGGTTAAGTGATGTGACATCAATCAGTGTGGAAGTGTGGGTACTCTGCATTTGTAGGATTATGAAATATCAATGCAGGATTATGAAATATCATCTGCCTTCTTATACCAGTATTTGCACCCCTCTGGTAGCTCTTAGCAACTTTCTCCATGGAGCTGTGGGTAGTCTCACTCCTTTCTCCTCCCTTATTGTTCCCTCTTCCTGAACACCGTTTACCCTGTGTGCCCCCCTACTCCACACAACCCCAAAACCGAACCTAATACCTTGTCCAGACATTGAAACTCGTTTATAATGAATTAAACACTTTTGTAACATACTTGTATTGAAGGATTTGTCAATGAAATTGAATATTCAAAGCAGTCTAGAAGAATTAAAGAATGAACTTCCATGTATATTACACAGATTTGCCAGCTGAAGTGAGCACTAATGAATCTGCAGGGCAAGAAGCCAGTGGGGCTGGGAGCGCCCGCCTCAAGGAACAGACAAGAGTTTCTGGGTTTGGAGGCTTGCTCATCGCGGAAGCAACACTACCAGCACCCTCACCATAAGGCGAAAAGTGCTCATTATTGGAATTGGGTGGGGGTTGGGGGTGGTGTCTAAATGCTCACAGCTGACTTTCTGCCTAGACAGATTAGCCAGCTGCAAGCCCAGGGCCAGGCCCCACCCAAAGAACCTACATACCATAGGCAGCAGAAAAGTCTAGAAATGGCTTAACTGACACTGACTGACGGACCGCACGCCAACACTTATACCACAGAGGGAGCTAAGATGTGAACATTCAGACTCCGTTCTTGCTGATTCCCTGCTTGGGATAGGGACACTTTGGTCCTGAGTTTCTAAGCTGAAGGAAAGGCAGCAGTGAAGTACCCACGCACAGGTGGCCGGGGCTGTGCCACAGGCTTTACCGCGATCCACCTCGGCGGGCGGGGAAACTGAGGCGGTCATAGCGCCGGCCCGCCGCTTCTGAGACCAGCTAGTGCCCCCGCCAAGCTACACCGCTTGTTCTCCCAACGCTCCTACGACCCCCGGAGCCCGCCGCGGAGAGAGGGCAGCCCTGCGGCCGGGGCCGGCGCTCACCACGTCCATGATCTGCAGGAGGCTCAAGGAGAAGTAGACGGTGAGCGGCTGCGAGTCGTTGGCCACGGGCCTCTCTAACGGGTTGTAGTTCTTGACCAGCTCCTTGTAGAGCTTCCTCTGGAACTCGCCTTGCAGGGACACTTAAGAGAGGAGAGCCAGACGCCTGCTCACGGAAGGCCGGCAGAGACGCGCCCCACGCCTCCTGCCCGCGACCCCTGCCGCCCAAACGCAGCTGCCCAGAGAGCGGCGCCCGCCCTCCCCGGCAGCCCCGGGCAGCGCCCTTTGCTGCCCCTCGCCCGCGCGAGCCCCCAAACCTGGCCCCCGCGAGGGCGCCCCAAGCCGCCCGGGGTGCCCCCAGGATCCCGCGGAGGAGCAGTGGAAGGCTGGGGAACCCGGCGGCTTTACCGTGCAGGAGCGACGCGGCCAGCGCCAGCCACACCGAGCGGCTCATACTGGGACCCAGAGCGGGCGCGCGCCCCGCGTTTCTGCCGCCGACCCGAGCCTGCGCCTGCGGCCGCTGAGCCGCCTCTCCCGGCTCCGCCGGCGCTCCTTTAAAGAGCCGCGCGCGCCCCCGCCCCGCCGCCTCCGCGCGCCCCTCCACGTGACGGGCCCCGCCGCCCAGCCGCGGCGCGGGCAGCTCGCGGCCGCCGGGGGAGCTGCAGCTCGCGGGTGGGAGCTGGGGGCGCGCCCCTCCGCCCCACGCCGCGGGCTTCCCCGGGCCGGGCGCTGCCACGCCCTCTGCCCTTTGTCCCCGCCCCGCTGCTGCCCGCTCTCAGACAGAAGCTTCGCCGGGACGGTCCTGGGGTGCAGTCCCCTGGGTCCCCCACCTCAACGCCGGCAGCCCGGTAACAGCAACCGTGAACGAGGCTCCCACAGGTTGGGAAGTATCTCCAACCAGACGAAACAGACCTGAGAGGAAGCCCCCTCCTGCCTCCCGTCAGATCCGGGTGTGTGTTTGGCAACCATTTGCTGGGCATCACCAGCCCGATTCGAAACAAGGTTCTGGAAGTGCCGAGAGGAGTAGCAGAGTCTCCGCCAGGGAGGCATCTTACAGGGAAGGAGAGGCGCTGCAAAAGTGATGGGATTCCCGGTGGATCCTCTTTATGCCTCATTCTCTTTTAAAGGTGATTCAAAAGATTGAAAGTTAACACCGAGCCCCTTTCTAGGACAGCCAAAACTTGGTGGTGGGATCGAAGCTTTTTTTGAGCATGGGAGTTAATTGCCAAGGGAAGGCTCAGAAAGGACGCCAGTCAAAGGGGCCAGGGGCTAATTCGAGCCCCAGATGTTGAGAAGGGGGCACGGTTCTGGAATGGGAAGGGAGAGATGGTTTTGAGGGTCTTCAAGAGAGGCAGAAAGCTGTCCCATTTGCTCGCGCAAGCCGATTGCAGAAAGCTGAGGGCAGCTGGGTTCCTTCTCCCACGTAGGGGGCACTGCCTCGCGCCTTCTTTCAGGAGGACTGAGCTACCCTAGGAGTCCAGGCGCTGTGGACAAGCAGAGGCAGTGCCCACACTTCTGAACTGCGGATGAGGAGGGGTTCTTGGATGACACCAAAACTAGGAAAAGGCTCACCAAAACGTGACTGCCTGCCCTTGAATTTTCCTCAGCAGCAGGTGTGGGCAAACTGAACCAGGTGTTTGATTTGGAAAAACAAAGGGAATGTGACAGACTTGCAATCAAGTGTCTTGTAGCAAGTTCACAGCTGTTAACTGATGCACGTGTAAACAAATAATCAGTATTGGCTTTGATGACTGCGACAGGATCCTAGAGGCAGGAAGGATTCATTCTCTCTGGAGAAGGGTTCATAGAAGAGGTGACAGCTGACCTGGGTTTGCCTCAGAGGAGGTGTTCAGCATGGAGAAAGGGATACCAGGGCAGGGTTTCCTGGTGGGCAGACAGGTGTGTTCTTGGCTTCATCTAGCTCCTGAGTTCCACACCATCTGTGGCAGTCTGGATACTCACAGAGCTGGCACTTGGTGACTGGAATGTGCTATAGGTTTTCAGCTACTGGTAGAAAGGGAGTCAGAGAAGGAAAATAAAACCCAACAATGGAATAGAGCACGGGCACACCACCTCCCGTGGTCATATGATGGTAGCACTCACTCTCCTACCACATTCCCTCAAAGTACCTAAAAGCTCCCATTCTAGAGGGATGGGAGCTCAAGGGCCAAGGGAATTCATGTATTTTGGGTTTCTTATTTGGGATCATATTCCTGAAAGTATAGCTACTTCCTTACCTTCTTTGTACCCCATAAATACAGAATCGTAGAAAGAAATCATTTCCTGGTGGGACAACAGGTATTCGTGCCCTATGCTCCGGCCTTGTTCTCTGCTATGCCCTCTGCTCTGCTGGGCACCTGGACGACGTACAAGCATAATCCACCCATTCATTCACAACTTAAAGCTGACAAGAGTGTGGAAACCTAAATTCTAGTCTGTGCTGTGCCAGTAAGTAGATCCGTGAGTTTGGCTATATTTCACCCCCATCCACAGGACTCAGTTTTTCTCATTTGGAAAAGGAAGAAAAGAGTAGGACGTGCTTCTGTGAGTGGGTGTGCCCCCCTCACACCCATTCTAATATGAAGAAATGGTAGGAAAACAAGAGAAAATATATACTTGAGCTTAGAAAGATGGGCCAGAAACAGATCCAGAGACTGTACCCACAGGCTGAAGCTGCTACCACAGCGCCAGGGAGGGACAGACCTAGGCAAGGGCTCCAAGGAAAAGAATGGGTTTTTGACACACCCCAGTGAGGTTGCCTGTAAGAGGCGGGGGACTACAGTGGAGATACCCACGTAAACCCAAAGCCTGGAATGATGTCCCATTCTGTGTAAAAGAGGCCAGAAAATCCCATGATCCAGGGAAACAAGAGGAAGCATATTTTCTGCTATGCTTCTGGGTAGAGAAAGACAAAACAAAACAACGCACATTTAAAAGCCCAAAAGTGCTTTAGGCTTAGGTGTGAATTTCAAATGTATACTACGCCATGGGTTAGAATTCAAGAATTCCTCCGGAGGAAGACTTCAATAACATCACATACATGGGACTCCCCAAAAATGTATAATTTTCATGAAAATGAATGCAAACTAAAAAATATAAAACAAGGAAACGAGCCACATGCCATATGAGTTAATAGTCAAGAGTAAGGGGAAGTCCGCGGGCAGAATACAAGGAAAATTAGTGCCCCACAATTTGAGATAATAAGGTCATTTGAAAAAAAACTATAAAATAAGTGCTTAAAATGCTAATGTTGTTGATCATGGCGAGTTATGTCAGCTTCAGTAATAGCCCACAAATCTTACTGGCTTGATATTACCAAAGTTTATTTCTCCCTCTCACTGTAACAAAAGAGTTCTAGTGACTTTCCGAGGTGACTACACTTCCCAGGTCTTTCAGGTGTTCAGGATCTTTTCAACAACTGGATTGACTCTGTTCTGGGAGTGGGGTGGAGAGAGGAGCAGTGCTAACTGCTGGAGCCCCAGTGTACATTCAGCCTATGAGCAATTAGGAATGTACCTGGTCTGGGTCAGGCCTTGTGAATGGTTTGTATCATTTCTGCCCACATTCCTTTGGCCGGAACCTAGTCAGTAGTCACAACCTAAAGTAAGGGAAGCTCTAAAGCACAGCCTTCCTCTCTGGGCCTGGGAAAACAACACAAAGGTAAACAGTATCACTAATAATGGTGCACAGGGAGTAAAATGGGAATTAACAGCATAGAGAGAGAACAGATCACAAAAGAAAAGAAACAAACAAAACATGAGCATCTAGGAAAAACCCTGTAGCAATTAAAATGGAAAGTTTAGCAAATTTGTTAAAGAGATTAGATAGTGAAGAGAAGATTTGTATTTTGGACAAAGAGCTGAAAAAGTTACCCAGAAAACAGAATTGATAAAAAAGGTTAAGAGATAAAAAGAATAAGGATTCATCTAATAGGAGTTCTAGAAAATATTAATAAAGAGACTGGGTGAGACTATCTTCAAAGAGAAAATGACTGAGTTTTTTCCGCACTGAAAAAAAGGTGTGAATCTCAAACTGAGGAAGTACAAAAAGCAATGGTCATGTTAAAGAAAAACTTGTAACTAGATAGTGAAGGTAGTGAAACTGCAAAACAGCAAAGACAAAGCAGAATTTAAAAGAGACAAAGAGCAGTAAACTTATATGCAATCTCAACAATCAATGACTGGTAAGAAACAGTAAGAATAATTTAGAAGGAGAAAAGATATAACCTAGGAGAATATTTCTGGTGCTTGCAAGATGACATTCAGGTTAACAGGAAAAACCTCCTGTTACAAAAATGTTACAGAAAATTCACCTAGACAAAATTACAAAGTATGTTGGAGATTTTTTAAATGTACCTAAGAAGGCTGATCCATTAGACATTTAAAAATCATACATACCCAACAAATAGTGAAAACACAATCTTCAATGAACAAAATATTTACACATTTCCTCTTCTTCATTTTAATATTCTTTTTGTAAGTTCTTTTATTTTTTCTTGATTAGTCTTTTCAAAGAACCATATTTTAATTTTGTTACCAACTCTACTACATGCTTGTTTTTTCGTGAATTTCAAATTTATCTTTTTAAAGTTTCTTCCTGCCTATACTCTTGTAGTTTATTTCTAGTCCAACTTTGTAGGTTAAATGTTTACATCAATAATATTAATTTTTCTTCTTGCCTAACAGAAGAACAGTTAGGCCAAAGTACTAAGGCTCACATGATGCTATGAGAAGAAAAAAATAGGGCAATACAACTTACAGAATTAAATGTAAAAATCACATTACAATAGCAAACCCAATTTAAAAAAGCATAAAAATTCATAATTATCAAGTAGGGTTGTATTATTAGTTCAGGTTGGTGTAGCAAAATACCCCAGACTGGGTGGTCTATCCAACATAATTTCAGTTTCTCACGGTTCTGGAAGCTGGAAGTCCAAGATCAAAGTGCTGTCAGGGTTAGTATCTGGTAAGACCTCTTGTCCTGGCTTATGGATGGCTACATTTCCGTCAGATTAGTGCCCCACTCAAATGACATCTTTTAAACTTATTTGCCTTCTTAAAGGCCCCATCTCCAAATAGAGTAACATGGGGGAAAGGGGTTGGAGCTTCAACATATGAATCTGGGAGGACACAATCCACTCTCTAACAAGACTTTATCCCAGGAAGGCAAAATACTCATCACCATATTAACCAGCTAACAAAAAAATATCATCATGTCAACATATATTGAATAAAATTTAATATACTGAATAAAATCCAATGCCCATTCAGGATTAAAAAATAAACAACCTACCTAGAATTGAAGGAGACCACCTTAACCTGAACAAGGGTATCTTCTAAAATCCTACAGTAAATGTTATAATTTTGCTTTTGTGTTTGAATAAAGTTTCAAATTTAGAATAGTTTTAGTTTCACAAAAGAAAAGGTTGTGGAGATGATACGGAGAATTCTCATATACTCAATACCCAGTCTCCACTAAGTTAACATTCAACATTAGTATGGTACGTTTTTCCAAATAATAAAAGAATCTCGA